TCCAGGCCTAATAGGGAAAGATCAAGGGGCTTTTGTAAAAGGCAGGTTAATGTACGAAAATGTAGTGATTGCAATAGAGGCTCTGGAGTTGATCCACAAGGAAGAAAGAGCTATCTCGGTTTCGATGCTACACCTGGAAAAAGAGTACGACATAGTAAATTGGTCTTTCATGATGACGACACTAAAGAAGACAGGTTTTTGGTCTAGTTTTTGTAAGTGGGTGTTGGCGTTGTACGTTCCTCCTCGACGACCGTCTGGGTTAACGGAAAGTTGTCCCAGGAGTTTCAATATCTCGGTCCCTCAGATCAGGATGCCAGTTGGCACCTCTGCTATTTGTGATTCAACTAGAAGTCTTGCTCTGCAATTTGCGATCAATAACGACATTTCAAGGCTTGAAGTTGTCCGATGGCAGCGAGTGCAAGGTAAAAGTCCTTGTCGATGATCTGTTTGCCATATCGGTTAATGAAAACGACTCGCGGGAGGCACCGAAGTCTTGTTTAAGGCAATATGCAGATCTCTCGGAGGCAGCAATCAACTGGGCACAGTCGGTGTATTTTCTTCTGGACAAATTCAGACCCGCAGTGGAATGGGGGATGAAAAAGATTACTGTTGGCAAAGCTGAACGTTTTCTTGGAGTGCAGGTAACACTCGGAGACTGCTCAATAGCCCAGGGAGTAATCATCCAACAAAAGGTGGTGAAAAGAATCAAATGTTGGGGCAAGGCCAGACATCTCTCGGTAATCGGAAGGGCAGTAGTAGTTATGGCCTCATCTTTTGCTCTTCTTTGGTATATGGCAACGATTAGGAATTTATCTAGGGATGCTCCGAAGACCATTAACGGCTCGACTCGACAGTTCATTGGGAACCCAGAAGGTGAGCCAGAAACAGGATTCGCAGCCAAAGTAGCTTCAGACGTAATTTGCAAAGCCAGAGAGGAGGGAGGTCTGAGACTGGTCGATATGGGAGCACAAAACATAGCTCTCCTCACCAAATGGATGGTAACGGATCTGGGTCACAGGCGGACTGGGGCAGTCTAGCAGAGGAGCTGTTACTAAAAAAATGGGATATGAATAGGCATAGAGATGTGTGGGTGGCCATATTTTATAAATCCTTTTTGAATAAGCACATCGCCTCATCTTTCTGGAAGGACATCCTGCGAGCATGGAAGAAAGTTAAACCACTCAAAGTTTGTCAGCCACACGCAAAGCAAGAAGTTAAAAAGCAGCATCTCTTCGAAAATCTTGTGATCTTGGACAAGGCAAGGGTCTCATTCCCTGCTATAACTCAGACCGGAATGTTTGGCATGCGCTGGATCCAGAGAGATATCTCCTCAGTTGGCGATTTCAAGAACTCTTGGAAATCACCAGGGCAAATAAGAGAACAACTGGGCCAACTCCCTTTTCAAAAAAAAAGGATGGAGGATTTGATCTATGCAATTCCAGCTGAATGGTCCCACATACTTGGACCGAAGGGATTAAACCCCCAGGTTCCTGGTATCAGGGAAAGGAGGAAGAACAAAAGAAGTTTTATCGCCTGCAAGAGTGGGTGGAAGACAATCCGGGGAAGTGTTGGTTCAAAGTCTTTAAAAGGAAACTGCCAGGATTACTTGAGGTAGAAATCACTGGAGTCTCCCTCCGATTTGGTCTACAATACCTGGAAGAAGTTAGAGTCAGAAGCACACCACCTCCAGAGCCGAGGTTGCCAGACGTCCAGAGGGTAGTAGCGAATGAAATGGAGATATCGGAGATGAGAATAAATTCATAAATGTGGGGATGACAAGTGGAGGAAGAACTGTTAGTCGGAATGGAGAAATTAAACCCAAGACTGGCTTTAAAACTCCTATCTCGTACACCTCCAACAAAAAATGTTATTGCCAATCGCCGACACAGTGTGTCCGAAGATGGAACTGCCTTCCCCAAACGAACTGAGGTTGTTATGGACACAACTGAAGAATGTACCGTCACGGAGGCTTGCTTCTCTAGCCTGGCTACAATCATATTTAGCGGTTCCCACCACTGCGTGGCTGAAAGAATGCAGGATGAAAGTTGCTCCGGTTTATGACAGATGCAATGCCGAAGAGGAATCGATGGACCGCCTTTGGTGGTCATGCCCAATCTCGAACAAACGGTGGTTATGGTGGGAGAGACATTGGGAAGCCTTCTCCAATAGGAGGGACCTGACTGGAAGAAGGTGGATCCTTCAAGGAAACTTACCACCGGGACGGACAGGTAGCAAAGGTTGGGAATATGTGGCCTAAGTGGCATGCCTCACTATGATGTGGGTCATCTGGAGTGAAAGGAATAACCGAAGATTCCAAGAGGTGTCAATATCAGAAGCTCAAGCGGAAGTCCTTCCGAAATATGCTCAGAATGCAGATAAAGGCAGATTGGTATAAGCGGGTACTCTGCGGAGACTGATAAGCAGGTCTGAAGTGGTTCTCGGACACTTGGTGCCTTGGGGGCTAATTGTCGTGTATCTCAGTCCAGGGCAAACTTGAAGTGTCGGCGTGGCTTAAGAAGTAGAGGCTGGACGGTAAGGGGAAAGAGCAGTAGGATTAGGGTCCGTGACCTTTTCTTTCTTATCCCAATTTTCTTTTTAGGCTTGTTTGGCTTTTTAGGGTCTGTGACCTTTCTTTCTTATGAACTTGGGTACTCGGTTCGAGGTTCAACTCGCAGGAGGCTAATTTTGTGGGTAGGGGGTGTTAAGCCACTAGGTACCTTAGAACCCAAGTTCCAATCAACCGCTTTGGGCCAATGTCAGGTCATTATAGGCCTGTGAATATGGTAGTTTGAGTAGGATAGGAAATAAGAGCTTCGGGGAATAAGCTAATAATTGAGGCTTTTTGGTTTTTTGCTTTCTTGAAACTGAAACAAAAAAATTGATTAGCATGGATTTAATTGTTCCTTTTTCCCCTTTYTTTYTTTYCYTTKTTKTTYTGYTYCYTTTTTTTTTTTTTTTTTTTTCGYTTTTTTTTTTYTYTTTTYTTTCTTCCTTTTTTTTCTTCCCTTGGTTCGTTGATTTGAGATTTGAGATGGAAATGAAGAAATGACAGAAAGTCAATCAACACGTGCATAATCCCAGACACGAAAAGTATTAACACGAAGTATTAACACAAAGTATTAACACAAAGTATTAACACAAAGTATTAACACGAAGCATTAACACAAAGTTCAAAGAGATTACACACAAGTAAAAACACATTCAAACACCCGGTGGGTACGGCACCCCGACCGGTTTTGACAGCCGCCACGCTGTTTTCTTCAGGGGAATCCACCATCATGTCCCTTAACTTCCTTGTCGTCTCCCACCAACCCTACCACACGCGGGATTTCTCGCACACATTCCGGAATGTAGTGTGTGTATCCCCGCGTTGGACCTAAAAGGACCTGACCAGGCGCCGTGCTTACTTTTTTATAGGTACTGGTTCTTCCCCGTCCATGGGACGCGGTCTCAGCGTAACACGCCAAAAAGGGCTCAAAAGGCCGAAAGAACAAAGGCAAAAACAAAAACCAAAAACAAAAACAAATCGTGGAACAACAAAAAGTCGTCCGGACCTGACAGCGAGAGAACAGTAGCCGACAAATCCTACTTTGTACCTACACAAGCTGCGTGGTCTTCGGTCTGGTCTACCGACCACCCGGTACCGAAAAAACAAAAAGTCAAAAAAAAAAATAAAAAACAATTACAGTGCATCTGGTCCTACCGACTGCAGAACCCCTGTCCCTATATCAGCCGAATTATCACTCAGGTTACATAGTATCCAACAAATCACTGTTCCTGTCCCAACTCCCTCACTCTGGGTGCGTTCTGCCAGTCAAAAAAAACGACAAAAGAACGACAAAATGACAAAGGAAAAAGGAAAAACACACCAAACGACTTATACATCTGCCTGGGTACACTATCTAACCTCAAACCTCAAACCGATAGCTGCCAAGTCGATGAACCTACTCAGAGTACAAAACCTAATCCAGATCATCCTCAAAGAGCCATTTGTATGTCAAATTCCAGATTGGATCCCTCCCTGTTGCAAAGCACTTCAGAACCCGCTTCAAAACAGTGTGAGGGAACGTTTTCAGGCGCAATTCCCTCTGCAAGCTTAGAACTCTCATAGGAATGTTCGAACACACGTTGGTGTTGCGCTCAATCCTGTGCAAACAGCTTTCCACAACCGCACTTTTTTGCACCTTACTACCCCATGAGTAGTATGTTTGACCGTTTTTGTATTCCAATCTCCCTTCCTCCCATGATGAGGTCTCGTCCTTCGAAGACTGCGTGCATCGTAAGTACGGGTACGATGCATCCGCATTCATGTTGACGCTCAAGAATTTCCACTCTCCGTCGCCCCCATGAGTCCTCTGTAGAGTTAGATTTTCGGGGTAACAGCCCTCGAAGCTACTCGCAATCTGCTCCACGTGAGCCTGTCTCTTACCCCCTTTCACAATTATCAAACTTACGTCATCCATCAGGCGCACGCCAAACACGAAGCGGCGCCATCCTCCCAAACTTTGCAGGAATTTGTACTCTGCAAAAGCACACATTATGCATGCTAATGGCGGGCTCGTACCTTTCCCCATGGGGATACCCACAACCTAGCGCAGTAGAATTCCTGTAGCTTTTGTATAGGTGTGCTTCAATTCCCACCTCACAAATTTCCCGATCTGTTCCAAATCCATTTTTCTCCAGTGATCCTCCCCGGTGGTCTCACCGAAAGTACATCCTTTCCCTTTGGTGTTCACACGAATTCACTCCCTGCCCTTGTCCCGATGGTGGCCAATCACCCAGTCCACTACCTGGATGATATCGGCATGTGGCAACTTCCTAAACATGTCTTTGATGTCAAAAGACATAGACACCAATTCAGAGTTGGCTTGCATCACCCGACCGATACGCCTGTTGCCTTGCTCAAGTCTTGGCACTAGATCCGACACCGATCGCAGGTTGAAGTGCCACGAACCTGGCATGCCGGCCAACAGGTAGTTTAGTGCCTTCGAAGTAACACGGCATGTTCGAACCGTTGATTATGAGAAGGTAGGACATATTGGTCTAAATCTTGAGAGATCCTTGTGTTTCGGCAATACATAGGCATTCCCCATCTTTCATTTTTTGTCCCACCTCACAAACTGTTGCAGACCCACTTCCTTTGCCTCCGACTTCATTTTGCCCAAAATGTCTTCCTCCCTCTCCTGCACGATCGTATATCCGGGTGACAGTACGAAGGTATCCATCATGGCCTCGAAGTACAGTTTGAGGCACATGGCTACTGTTTCACCCGGGTTCCGATCGAGACTTGTGATCACCAAGCCTTCCAAATTCGCTTTTACGATCTCCACCTCCTTAGAATCCAAATACTTCGCTGCATGGTTTTTGCCTTCCCCGCCGTTCCTCGACATGCACTTCCAAACTTCCGATCTTCGTACCATCACCTCACTGTTCCCCCGGTTGATCCACGTAGTGAATCCCGCGGCTACCTCTTGTACTAGCAGATTCTCCCTATCCGAAATAACCAGTTTCGGTACGTTGTTAGCGTGACAGATCATGGGGTTGATCCCCTCTTGTTCATGCAGGCGGAAGCGCACGTGGTCTCCTACGTGAGGGTAGGGGAGGCCTGCACAAGTGCAGGTCAGCACCTCAGCTTTGGCGTAACGCCGCTTATTGTGCAGCATATTGACTACCGACGGGTTTTTAACCCATATGATCCGAACCATACCCCGTGCAACATCTTTCAAACATGCTGGAATGTCCAACTCTTCGATCTTATCGTTAACTAACTTAAGTACTTCAACTAATCTAATTCGGTCATCGAACTTCAATCTTACGACCAACTTAGCATTCATACTCCATCCGTAGTTTACCTTGATTGCTCGTACTATGATGCGTCGTAGGAAGGCAACCGAGGCCACTTTCTGGAAATCACCCGCCGACTTGATCAATCTAATCAGTACAGCTAGATCACACCTCCTCAAAATCTCCATGCGATTATGATTACGGTACAAAGAGCACAAAAACTTCCTATCCGGTCCCGCCTTGGGCTTCCATTTAACCAAACGGACCACCTCAACAATCCCTTCTTCTTCCATGTAGTTCCTACAATGGCGTAGTTCCCTATGTTGATCCCCAATAGTCAACTTTGACTTACCAAAAGCTGCCTTAACCGCCCTCCAGCCCCCGCACCAGCTATTTCCCTGCTCAAAGGTCAACGAGAATGCACGACACTCTATCGCCTTTTGCGAGTCCAATAGCTGATACACGTCTATACTCCAGTCGCCAGTCTCGTGGATCTTTGCTCTGATCGGTACTATTGAAGCTACCTTGTCACTTGCATGCCCTAGTCCATCGCCCTTCCCCCGTTCCCTTTTACCTCGCCGCCGTTGCCCTGTCTTAACTCCCTTGCCCTGCTTACCTGTAGTGTTCAGGACTGGTGACCATCGGCGGATGTACAATTGTTCGAGGGGTAGCAGTTCCGAATCGGAACATGCATCGATTGGTAGTAATACGTATGACTCAGCTCCGAAGACTTGCCACCATCTGTATAGGTGTGTCTGCTTACGTGCCTGCCCACAGACTGATAGATGTTCCTTCCATCGTTCGTTAGCTGCTCGCTTGGTCTGGCCCACGTATTGCGCTTTGCAGGTCGGTGACGTCAGAATATAGACTCCGCTGACTTTGCCATTGAATGCTTTGATGCCATACTTCTGGTACAGTGCTACCCACGTCATCAGGCACTTCCGTAGCCATCGAATCTGATCATACAACGCCAGGAGGATAACCACGTATCGGTACACTCTTTCCGTCACCGCATGGTACGGTGTTTCCCGTCGAATCGCTATCAAGGCTTTACACAATCTCCAGTAGTCTTGGATGGTTCAGTTGTCGTCTTCCTCCTCTTCGTCATCCTCCGAGGACTAGTGTCCCTCTTTGTCTTCTGGGTCCTCGTTGATCCCTTTGGTGCTGCCTTCCGCCGTCGCCTCCTCCTCCTTGTCAGTACCATAGGCCACATGCGTCCGTTTCTCCGCAATGGCTAAAATTGTATCCATCTTTTTCTTGTTCCCTTCAAAATGCACATCTTCGTCCCGACAAATCTGCTTCAGTTCGTCGATGTTCATCCCACCCAGCACGCGAAGGTTGTCCTTGACGTAGCGGAGCTTCCCTGGATTGCCTACAGTAGCCGGTATCTTCTTCTTCTTCCCGTCGCTCTGTCCCGGTGTCTTCTTCGCTGGCGATTTCTTCAATGATGGATGTCGACAGCTGAGGGCTAAACGCTTCGGGCGCATAACGCCTCGTTTTGCCGGTCACTTTGCAGGGGTTTCCATTGGGGGACCGTTCCCGATGGGCCGTTCTGCGCTGCGCTTACGCTTGTCACTAATCTCCTGCCATCCCGTTTGTTCGCTCAATGCTTCGACTTCGCTATCTTCAACACTATTTTCTTCATCGTCCGATCCCTCGTAGACTGGTAGCTTCTATTTTCCTTCGCTTCTTAACATGGTCTCGGACAGCCTCTGGTGGAGTTCCTCACATACAGCTCCGACGTGCATATGGACTTCCATTCTCAACTCCTTTCTCAAACCCTCCTGAAACTCAGCTTCCTTTCGCTTCTCTAACTCCCTCTTGATTCGTCGTCTCTCATCACGTTGTTCCCTAGCGAGGCGTTCCTTTTCTTCCCTCGCCAGTTGCTCCTTTACTTCTTGCTTGCGCTTCTCTTTCTCCTTCCGTCCTCTTTCTGTTCCTTGCTCGCTTGCTCCGCATCGATGACCTCCTTCATGCTAGCTAAAGAGCTAGCTAAATCCTCGATTTGTTTACGTAACGCTGGTTCTTCAGATGCCGAACGCCGCTTCTGACCTCGCGCCTGATGCCCTGGTGAGGTCGATCGTTCGTGTGCTGCCGTGTATCGAGTGCTAGCTTCCCCGATCAGTCTTGGACATTGGTTCTTGTAGTGTCCAGGTTCCTCGCACTCATAGCAGACTGACACATAACGTCTCGGCGGTTCCCTGCCGCTTCGTTCTTGACGAGGATCCATGTAGCGATCGCGTCGGTCGTCGCCACTCCGTTCCCGGCTGTAGTCAGCCTCCCGTCTACTCTCGTGGTATCTTTCCCTGTCTCGATCGTAGTCACGCCTAAGCTCGTGTGATCCCGCCCCCGACATCTCTCCCTATTCACTCATTGGTAACACGCCACCTTCGCCAGACCACTCCGTCCACTGAACACACGAAAACTCCCTGTGCTTATCTTACGGTTGTCAGCGGAGGTTACACCTGCATGTAGGTCCCGGCTTCAACCCAAGGCTGCAACACGCGTACCATACACCACCAGCAACACACAGATGGTAACCAATCTCTTCGTGCTTACGCTCGTCAAGCAGCTTCTTGACCAGTTCACACGGGCCTCCAAAGATTTGAGATGGAAATGAAGAAATGACAGAATGTCAATCAACACGTGCATAATCCCAGACATGGAAAGTATTAACACGGAGTATTAACACAAAGTATTAACACGAAGCATTAACACAAAGTTCAAAGAGATTACACACAAGTAAAAACACATTCAAACACCCGGTGGGTAGGGCACCCCGACCGGTTTCGATAGCCGCCACGCTATCTTCTTCAGGGGGAATCCACCATCATCTCCCTTAACTTCCTCGTCGTCTCCCACCAACCCTACCACACGCGGGATTTCTCGCACACATTCCGGAATGTAGTGCCTGTATCCCCACGTTGGACCCAAAAGGACCTGACCAGGCATCGTGCTTTCCTTTTTATAGGTACTGTTCTTCCCCGTCCATGGGACGTGGTCTCAGCGTAACACGCCAAAAAAGGCTCAAAAGGTTGAAAGAACAAAGACAAAAACAAAAACAAAAAACAAAAACAAAAAACAAAAACAAATCGCGGAACAGCAAAAGGTCGTTCGGACCTGACAGCGAGAGAACAGTAGCCGACAAATCCTACTCTGTACCTACACAAGTTGCGTGGTCTCCGGTCTGGTCTACCGACCACCCGGTACTGAAAAAAAAAAAAATCAAAAAAAAAAAATAAAAAAAAATTACAGTGCATCTGGTTCGTTGAGTTCGGTAGTTCAGTAAAGGTTGAACCTACCGTCGGGTTGTTCAAAAGGGGTAGGAGGGCCCAGCAGGCCAAGAACAAAGATAGCTCCATCGGCATCATAAGGAACCAGTATCAGGGAGGGAGAGGGGGTGGCCAAATGTCATAAGAACCGGTGCCCCCCGGACCCGAGGCAGTGGCCCCCCTCCCGGTAAATTATGACGAGTCCGATGACACCTGATTGTAAACACGGTCAAGTTCGAAAAGACGGACTTTTAAAGCTGCACGGGTGTCAAACATGACCCGGAATTCCCGAAGGAGACGATGATGATATGAAGGAATCTGGTTATGAAAAGGACGAATGCGAGGCGACTCACTCACAATGGTCGAAGGAGGTGAGTATGGTCGCAATCACAAGTCGCCCTCTACTACTCACCAAATGTGAAAAATGAGATTGAATTTCCCGTTAAAGTACGGGAAAAATACGTTGCCGTATTATTCGATCATTACTATATTACTATCATTATTACCTTCCTCATGCATGTGGTCATGTCGCACGCCCAGGTCCAACCGCCTTCATTCCCGCACGGAGCTCTTGCCGCTCGTACCAACAAACCATTATCCGAAATAAAAATTTGTTATGGCCAATACACTCAAAGTGCCTCAAAACCTCTAATTGTAGTTTTTTCTCGCTCAATTCCATCAGGAATAAAGCAAGATACATACTTTCAACTCCCATTCTCCTTTTTTTTCTCCCTCCTTGACTCCTCCGCGCACCCTCGTTTTGCTCTACCTTGTTCCCTACTAACTTTTGTCTTGATCTGGCTGCAGATTTCGGGTCGTCCAACCCCAAACCCCCTACATAGCACTTCACCCCGCTCAAAACCATGCAAAATTGAGTGAGATATCCATTATCTTCGCCGCCATCATGATACTCATTTCTTCTTCATCTCCTCTTTCATCAAACTTTCTTCTTCATTATCTTTTACTTGAGCATAGCGCAATTCGACTTCCGATTAACACAGCAGCCTGACCCCTTCATGGCTCGACCGTGATGTGAGCAAAAAAAAGGAGAAATTGCCTCTGCCTATCCGTCATCAAACTACAACCTACGTAGCTGATTTCATACCAATCTTCCCCATCGAGTGTATCCAATTGCAACTATGCCCCAAAGCAAGTATGGAATAATTAAGAACACCCCCCCCYTCCCCCCCCCCCCTTCCTTGCCTTTGCCACGAGCCAGGGGGAACTGTACTTGTCCCCTCTGTATATGCCAATTTTAATCGGATGTCACGAAGGACAGAGTGTCGAACAACGACTTTGGGATATCATCGTCCATTTGAAGTTTTTGAACGGCCCCAAGTAATTTACAATTATGTTGTTCTGGACATCTGATTGTAAATGGATTCAAACTTGAGTTTGTATTTCCAGCAGTTCAATGGGTATACCAACTGAGCTAAGCCCACTGGTCATGGTCCCACGGACGTCTTTATGGCGGGAAAGCAAAACCAAGGGAGTCCCTTGGTTTCCCGAATTTGCACCCCTTTGTCCCATTGCCAAGCCTAGGTCTACTGCTTTCAAACTATATGCCGTATCTACTAGGCTAAGTTCCATGTTGGTACGATATAGTAGAAAAATATTACTAACCCCAAAGAGGCAGAACTGAATCCGCACCGGGGTCGCACGGAGGCATACCAGCTGGCCTAGGGCTCACGAACCCTCGACCATACGATAAAAAAAAAAAAAAAGGTTGCACCCTCGACGAGCGACAGGTCGACCTTTTCTTTGAGTGGTTGGGCAAGAGTCCCGCTTTCTCCCACAACAAGCCTTGCTAACCGGATCCGGTCCCATTGCATTTTGAAGCAAAAATCATAAACCAAAGTAATAAACAATCCAAAAATAAAGAACCGATCCTACGGGATCACGGCTCAGTGAACCCGAATCGTTGCATGTTCCCACCTAAGCAAGACGCGTACTGGTCGCATGCCCGCTCAACATGGATTACCAAAGTGCCGTGAACAAGCTGTCAAATTATGGTTGGTCATACGACTCGTGGACTGTACATAACATCATTGATACCCTGCCCTAATGACCGAAGCTAAACCAAGCCACACGCTGAGGCAACCTGTTGTGGCGGAAGTCGTCCTGTATGCTAATGCCCGCTCGCCCCATGCACGAGACAAGCCTAACAAACTGAACCGTTGGGCTCTTGCACCGTCTCGCATGCTCACGACGTAACTTACCGACCGCCAAGGTCGGTGACTATCTGGTTGCCCATCGTGCGACGCAAAATAATGTGCGCTCACACTATCTCATACCCCACTTTCTCACGCCTTCTGACATGGCTAAAATTGTCGAGGTGCGTGTTCAGACCAAAGTTGATTCGCAGTTTAACCCTTGCATCGTCACGACCGCACCCTATGCAACCTGCAAAAAACACCACAAACACCCTTGTAAGTTTGTTTGTCACGTGTAGACAATTGCTCCACGAAACTTCATAAGTCACGACTTTGTTGAGAGGCTGCACTTAGGGGACCGGGTGCAATTGCTAGGTAGATCTCTAGCTTCTACCCTTGCCAACAAGGGGCGCATGGTTGTCCACGACTACGTCGACGACGTGGTCTGCACCTTCTCCTATGGAGAATGAAAACGTAATCATATGATTTCGTTCTTGGGGCTTACCATTCGACATGTTGTTTGGGTTTGTACTCCCTCATGGTTACAGAGGCCCAATTTGACTGGGGCAAAAAAATGTTTTTGCATGTGTTGCCGGATAGGAGGACCATTAGACTATCTAAGTACAAAGCTAACAGGTTAGTTAACTCCTATGGTTGCATGTGCGCCTTTGTGTTCTAAAATTATTATAAACAGAACCAAGAGGAGGGTATGTAGTACCTAGTCTTCGTCGTTGAGAAAGGTGAGGCCGTTAAATCACTCCCAAAGATCGAAGTTGTCGTTGCTAAATACCCTGATCTGCTTGAGGAGCCTTCGACTGTCGTAGAGAGGGAAGTCGTTCATGTCATAAAAATCATCCTAGGCAGCAAAACGCTCATAGTCCTAGGCAGGTCCACAAAGGAGGAGCTGATCAAGACATCACCTCAGGTTGTTGTTGAATATGAACAAAAGTTGAAGGGGAAAGCACCTGCGTAGAAGGATCTCATCGGACTTTCGAAGTTAAGGAGGAGGGAGTGCAAGGAATGAACCCTCACAGTGGCCTTCAGGTCGAAGCACCCACCTGCCCAAGGGGACCCCCAACATGCCTTGTGCCCGCCCTAAGTGAAGGCAAGCCTGCATTTGGACATGAGGCCCTGTCTTTGTCATTTTTGCATGTTGGGGCACCAGATAGTCACATAGCGCTAGTTGGTTACAACTTACAAAGACCCCACCAGTATGAACATGACATCATTAGCCTCAGGGTTCTCCTAAGGAGCGATGTGGCCTGGCCAGGGGGTCTCGAGACCCAATAAAAATCCAGACAGCGATGTGGCAAGTAGTCCGACAACCAATAAGAACGTTGCGGGTGACAACAGCTGCGTCGCACAGTTGGGCAGCTTACCTGCTGTGGACGCAGGCCACTGCATGAATGAGCCTGGGCGCAGACACTTTGGCCCAACGTGAAGCTACTGGTCACATGATTGCAAGGCCCAGGGCCGCCAAAGGTTGGGCTCACTTTCCATGTAGGAAAGTGAGTGCCCAAGCCAGTGGATATTATGGCGATGCAAGAAGAGCAACCATGCTGCTGGATTGGAGCACTGACTTGCAGCCTGGGCGCTGGCCAGAAGGCGCACGAGCGCGCTAGAGGGAAGAGGGACGTTGTGGTGGCGGTGGGCACATGGCAGCCATAGTCGGGCTGCATGGGCGCATGTTGGTATTGGGCGATGGTGGTCTTCGGGTGACGAGGGCGCACATTGTGGGAGAGGAGGAGATGAGAGGGGAGAGAGAAATGACACATATCTGGTGTATGCTGGCAGTCTGCATTGGCGACGCCGTCATGTACATTGGTCTTTAACTTCAAGTGACTCCTATTGCATATACATAGTGTAGGCTACAGTAGGTATTAAATAGGATTGGTTGGGTGCTATGTGCCAATCAAGAAGTGCAACATTAAATACTATGTTGGTGATGGCGAGTGAGGGCCTACATTGACATTGGAGTTCATTGTATTGCTCTTATTTGGCATGTATCTCAGTGCATTGTGCTTTTTGCTTGGTCTTCAGCGTGATATTGGAATTTGTTTTTTTGTCTATCGCTCTCGCTCATTTTCCTTGCACAGTGTTCTTTTTGGAATAAAATTGGTTACTGTTTTGCTGAAAATAAAAAAAATAAAAATTATGGGTTGTTGGTTGTATATAGGGCAGATTAGCATAACCCTGCTTAAGGGGATTCAAAAGGTAAGAAAAAATGAATGGGGGGAATATAGGGTGCATGGGTCGACGCTTTCACGGGATGGTAAGCACAAACACTGTTATTTTTGTCTGCTATTTTTTGTTTGCTATTTTTTGTTTTTTGAGTTCTGTATTTTTCCCTCTCTACTTTGGTTTTGTTTTTGTTTGGTGTTTTTTCATTTTTTGTAGTGGGCCTGTAATAGTGGTAGTGGCCTTGAATGGGCTGAAATTTTCTGGAGAACTCTGCGGATCGGATTTGGTTCGAAATTATTCCTCGAGAATTTGTGTGCGTCTGTAGGTATAGGATACCAGACACGTGGTGAGTAGCCAACTGACCTGGAATTGGGCCTGGAATTCTTAGGATTCGAAAAATGCCTTTTCAGTAACGTGTTAATGTCGGGGCCGTCGTTAGACCCATGTTGCTAGTCGGGTAAGGGTCCGTTTTTTTTAGGTTCATATGGAAGGAAGCCTGGACGTGGGGCGGCTGCATGGTCAACTTAGTAGGCTACTTTTAGTATATAGGCTACTTAGATCGCACGTAGTTGATCAAGCGACATTAAAACCCCTGAAGAAGTCGGTGCGGCGACTGGCCGAAACATGTAGGGTCGCACACCGATATTCAGTAGCCATAGTTAGACATGTCAATTTTATGTGGCTACTTTGTCGCGTCTGGGTATTAACGACATATTTTTTACGTGCGGGTCTGTGTTTTCTCTACATCCCTCCTCCTTTCTTCCCTCTCCTCCTTTGTGACGGACCCGCCGGGATGGCGGTCCGTCAGGATCAAGACGAAGGGATGAGGATGGGGAGATGGAGATGGAGTTGGAAGGGACAGCGCAGCTCCAACGCAGACTCAACACGCACGTACTCCAATCTATGCAAAGAAAGAAGCACAAAACAAACTGCAGCTGGGGTATACCCCCAGCGAATTGACTGGACTGGACTGGACTGGACTGGTACCGACAGTGGTACTGGGCAGGACTGGACTGGACTGAATAACCACACGGCCTGTGGGGTCCGGCCACGGCCTGGTCCCACAGGCCGAACTGGCAAATAGCCAAATAGGCCCTGGCTGTGGGCCAGGGAAGATGAAGGCCCGCTGCACGATCCTCAGACCTGTAATGGATCGCAAGAGCCATAAACACGCTATCTGCAAAAGCAGCGGAACTCTGCAACAAAGAAAGCTGAGAAATCTAGGATGCGGAGCAAGCTCCATGCGGAGTCCATGCGATGCAGCGTAAGCTACATAATGTCAAAAGAAAAGCAAATGTCTGGTATACATATCCTAACTAACAGCAGAAAATGAAATGTAGTATGATACAATCCTAAAGTCCTGGAGGCAGTGGCCTCAGTGCTGAAAGGAAAAGAGCAATATATCACAAGATAATGTCATGTCGCTGAACCACTAAGAGTGGGATGGTCTCAGAGGGGGTGAATGCAGCCTAAGAATCGAAACTCCTAAGGGCAGTCACACATGAAGGTGGGATAGGTCATCAGGCTCAAGGTGGGAGAGTGGTAGCGAAACAAAACCAATGACCCTAACAGACAGACCATCAAGGCGGGTAATGCTCAACAAAAGGGTGACACCATGCAGGGTCGACCATGAAAAGGGGAGCCTGGAATAGGGTGGAGCTATGCCGAACTGGAGGCATGCAATAGCCGGCGCTAGGGTGATGAGGGCAGTGGGTGAGGGAAACATGCACACAACTCACCGACTGGGAGAGGGAGCTAGATCTGGTAGCAAGGAAGCCAAGATAACGCTACGGTCCCAATGCCTGTGCGATACCAAGGGAGAGCCAAACTCAAAGAGACCCAACTAAGTGAGAACCATCATGCAACAGGGGCAAGGGAGTATACAGGGTAGGGTGGTGACGTGAAGTAGTCACGTCCAAAGTAGCTGAAGTCGTCGAAGTAGTCGATGACGTCGATGAAGTAGCAGTGGAGTCGATGTCGAAGCAGAGCCGCAAAACGCTGACATCCTGAAGAAGAGATGATGATGGAGTACCTGATGGTGTGAGTCAGTGGGGAAAGAGAGAGGATAAGAGTGTCAGTCATCGTAACGCGAAGGGCGATGATGAGTGCGCTGTGGACGCTCGGAGGCGACCGTCTGCGGCTGAGGAACGGCCTCAGAGGGAGCGGGTGCGTCCTCAGCAATCTCCTCAGCCGGAGGAGGAGGAAGAGGGTCAGTCGGCTGAGTAGAAGCAGATGTCTCAGCACGACGAGCACGATCATATACACGCACCAACATCCTGGCGTGCTGCAAGTGCTCGAGGGGCTCCCAAGTAGCCTCCTCATCAGGGTAGCCCTTCCAACGCACAAGGTACTCGATGCGTGGAGGGGTATCGTCGGTAACTCGRCGTGATACGATGTCGGAAACAACGAACTCCTCGTGACCGTCCACCATGATAGGTGGAGAGCGCTCATAAGGGCGTCCAGCAAAGCGCTCAGACGGTCTGCGATAAGGACGCAGCAAGGAGACGTGGTAAACATCGTGTAAGCGAGCCTGTCGAAGGTAATCAGGTAGCTTCACACGGAAGCTGACCGGACTAGCGGCAGTATCAGAACTGACGGCCTGAAGGATGGGGCATGGACCGAAGAAACGACGCCTGAACTTGCGAAGCGTATCTGCTTCGAGTTGTAAGTGGCGTGCGTCGACGAGCACATCGTCACTGACTTTGAATGGATGATCCATTCGTGATCGGTTTGCTCGTGCGGCCATGCGAGTCTGGGAGTCGGCTAAACTCTCATGTGCGCGCTTCATAATCGCCGCCATGTGGGCGATCCAGCCGTCAAGCGCAGGGCAACGAGTGTCTGGGCGCAACCGCGATGGTCGTAGGAAATCCGCGGGTACGCGAGGGTGATAGTCGAGGTCGCAATAGAATGGCGACATCCCCGTGGTTGGTGAAACAGCGTAGTTGTACGCAATCTCCGCGTGGGCTAAGTGTAAGTCCCACTGCTGGTCATCCCTAACAAATTTTCGGAGGATATTACCGAGAGTTTTATTGGTGACCTCAGTCGGACCATCCGTCTGAGGGTGGTAAGACGATGAGAAGCGGAGCTGGGATCCGTACACCTCGTGTAGGCGTCGCCAGAATGTGCTGGTAAAGCACGGGTCACGGTCGGAGATGATGCTCGGAGGTAAGCCGTGATCTCTCACGACTCGGTCGAAGACGATGTCGGCGACCTCACGAGCGCTAATGCGATAGCGGCACGCGACAAAACGTGCACGCTTCGTGAAGCGATCGACGACGACCAAGATAGCATCATGACCGCGCTCAGTGGGTGGGCGGAGGGGACCAATGAAATCCATCGAGATGGACTGCTAACGACCCTCAGGTATGGGTAGGGGCTAAAGTAACCCATACGGAAAGTGGTTCGCACTGTTCACCTCCTGGCAAGTAGGACACTCCTGGATGTAGGTTTTGACAAAGTCCTTGGACTTGTGGAAACCCATATGACCTGCAACTGCCTGGTCATGGAACTCTGCTACAGCCCGGACGCGGAGCTGTCTGGTTGAGGGAACGCAGATACGTGGTTCTAGCTGACTAGATCTGCCATGCCAGTACACGAGGCCGTTCTCCCCGAGGGAGTAGGAAGGAGCGGTCTTGCCACTCCGCATTGTCGCGTGGATGACGCGATAATCGGGGCAGTGGCGGTACTGAGTGCGATACGCGTCGATCACCGACTGATGAACAGTGGTGATGGAGATGGCAGCAAGATGGATGGGTTCCTGATTGTGATCAGGACGGCGGGACAAGGCATCGGCGACGCGGTTCATTTCACCCTTGATGGGCTGAGTGGTGAAACTGAACTCGGATAAGTCACGCCACCAGAGTGCCTGTCGAGGGGAAAGCTTAGACTTCGTGAGGAAAGCCTGGACAACTGAGTTGTCCATGCGCACCGTGAAGGGCGCCCGGTGCAGATAATGACGCCAATGCCGGGTAGCATAAACTACTGCGAGAACCTCACGTTCATCGGCAGTGTAGTTTATCTCGTCAGGCAGTAGCTGATGGGAGTAGAAAGCGATCGGGCAAACCCCAGCACGAGCCTCGAAAGTCCCATCCTCCGCGATGGTCGGGGAGTAAGTAACAGGAGGACTGTCAGTGGAGGGAAGTGGTGGGAGGGTAGGCGTTAGTCGAGAAGCAGTGTCAGCAGGAAGGGGGGGGAAGGAGGAACATGGGGGTAAGGTGAATCTGGACGAAAGGGAAGCACCTGAGAAAGGACAGCTCCTACTGCAAAATCCGACGTATCGGTGGTGACGATAAAGGGACGATCAAAATCGGGAAGGCGAAGAACCGGCGCACAGGTCACCCGCCTTCTTGAGGGCGCGAAAGGCGTCCTCTCACAGGAGTGTCCAAAACCACGGCGGGTTCTTCCGGAGGAGGATAGAGGTAAGGACGTAGGAATACCTAGCGTATCCCTGGATAAAATTACTATAGTAGCTGGTGAGGCCTAGGAAACTGCGAAGCTGCTTGGCAGATGCGGGGATGGGCCACTCTGCAATAGCAGTGATCTTCGCGTCGTCCATGTGGAGACCCTGGTCAGACACATGGTGTCCTAGGAAGTCCACTTTGCGGTGGGCAAAGCGGCACTTACTGAGCTTGGCATAGAAGCCATGCTTGTGTAAGCGCTGTAGGACATCGCGGAGGTGTCTGAGATGGTCTTCTAAGGTACGACTGTAGACCAGGATGTCGTTCAGGTATACGAGAACGTATTCTTCAAGGATGTCCCTGAAGATGTCATTCATCACCGTCTGGAAGGTGGCGGGTGCATTGGTGAGGCCGAATGGCATCACCGTGAACTCGTAGTGGCCGAAGCGGGATCGGAAGGCGGTTTTCGGTTGATCCTCTGTGGCAACGCGGATCTGGTGGTAACCGCTACGAAGACTGATCTTCGTGAAGAAGCGGTTGCCTGCCAGACAGTCAAACAGCTCATCCGCACGGGGCATGGGATAGTTGTTCTTAACCGTGTAACGGTTAAGGCCACGATAGTCGATGCAGAGGCGGAGAGTTCCGTCCGCTTTGCGAGCAAAGAGGACAGGTGCACCCCAAGGGGAGTTACTGGGCTTAATGAAACCCAGTCGAAAGGAGCTCCTCAAGCTGACGCTTGAGTTCCGTCGCCTCTGGAATCGAGAGTCGGTACGGTGCCTAATGGTGAACACGATAGTCAGGCACGAGCTGTATAGAATGCTCAACACCGCGCATCGGGGGAATCCCGCTGTATGAGAAGTACGGGGGAAAGACGTCGCGGTACTCTCGAATCAGGTCGCGAACGGCGGGCTCTAAGTCTGCCGTGAACCGTGTGAGTTCCTCAGCGTCTGCGTCGGCACGAGACGTATATGTGGACTCGACGGTCGGCGGCGCAGGGTCCTGGGACGTGGAGGGGGTATCCGCAGGCTGACGGGTGGATGTGGAGATGGGAGCAGCGAAGATGGAGGAAGGGTCAGGGGGATCCGACTCCAGTGAGATGAGCTAAACCTCGGGACAGAGTGGATCATAGCGAAGAAGATCCATGATGTTCACTGAGTAGAATGTGACGTTTTCCTGTCCGATGAAGTGAGCGAACTGACAAGGGGAAGTGAAGGCAATGTCTGGGTGGGACCCCGAGGGACGAGGGTCCTATGGAGGTAGGTCTGGGGGGGTGTCACCCGTGGTTCCAATGAAGGGGACTCGAAGGGTCTGGCCGCACTTCGTTTTGAGAACGAGTGTCTCGGTCGCCCATTCGGCCTCTGTGTTGCGGAACCGGCGAGACTAGGGAGTGCTAAGGATAAAGTCGTACCCAGTCTCCAGCACGTCGAAGTATGCGGAGGAATGGTAACGCCTAGGCGTCTGGGTACTATCCGATGGCTGGAGGGTGAGGGAGAAGTGGAGGTCGGGAACCGTCTGATCGAAGAAGCGCTGCGTCTTGTTATCTCCGAGGGTAACGGAGATAGGAGAGCGAGACCCAGAGGTAGCTAGGAGAGCTTCCTCAACCACTCGAGGGTGAACGGAATCTCCCTGCGAGCCAGAGTCCCATAAAGCGCGATACACTCTCGTAGATGTTCCTAGGCGGATAGGGATAATGGGTAGGGTGCGATCAGGATCAGAGAGCAGAGTGAGAAGACGACGCAGGACGTTGACGTGCCTCGTGAGTTGCTCCTGACGAGCCTGCAGAATGCTCAAGTCCAGGAGAGATGACACAACGTCATCGCGAGTCGCCAGCTGAGTGCTACAACGGGCTGTGCGAATGGCGCGACGCGTCGGAAGTCTCGGGGGAGAAGCGCTAGATGTGGTGGTCTGCGGGGAGGCAGACAGTACCTCGACAGACGACGGGGCAGAGAAAACTGCGTCTGTCGTATCCTGAGGGTCCTCTGGTGGGGTAGCCAAAGGGGCAAACCGCGACTCTGTGGTCGGGAAGCCGGCTACGTGCGAGGCCTCAGGGGTACACTGCACCGTGGCTAGCTGGGTGGGGCTGGCCGGGCGGGGCCGGGGGGGGACTGAGATCGGCGCTGACGAGAAATGTCAGCGTAGTACCGATCGAGGGTGGTGTGGTATGGACACCGTGAGGAGGTGTGTCCATCCTGGCGACAACGAAGGCAGCCTCGTCGGGCCTCGAGGGCGGCACGCTCCTCGGGGGATAGAGCTCCGCGAGGAGGGACAAAACCCTGCGGGAGGTCTATCTGAGGAACTGTGGGTGTGCGGGCGCCAGCCTGTGCAACCCGACTGCATGCACGACCCATGGCAGACGTGGCCATCTGCAGGCGCTCGGCCATTGGGACAGTGTCGTCATCCAAGTGGTACTGGATGACGTCCCGAAGCTGGATGTCCTCGGGGGCGTCCCCAATGGTAGGATCGAGCTCGGCTGAGGCGTCCTCTCCATACTCGAGAAAACTGTAGTGCCGAGTGAATGGCGCTCCAGGTCGAGCCGAGCGACAAAAACGACCAGCTAACGAGGAGCGGCGGGTGGTACCCCGAGACTGGGAGGTGGCGGCTGGCCGCGAAGAGGATGGGGCGACGGAGAAGCGACTGCACATCCTCTGGTAGTGACGCGCAGCCTCGTATGCCTGCTCCGCGGAAGAGAATGATCGCCTCCATAGCTCTAGGCGGTAGTCAGTCGGCAGGCTGACAAGGAACCGATCGGTGAATGTGACCTCCGATAGGAACGTCTCGTCACAAACAAGGCGAGCGTCCTGAAACACCCGGATGTGACGCTCCAGGTCGGCCGGTACAGAGGACCCGGACCATCTGGTCTGGGTGACGCGGTCTAAGGCGTCGGTGGCATCATGACGAGCGCCGAAACGGTCCTGAAGGAAGGCCGCAAAGTCGGCCAAAGTGGGAACCTCACCCACGCGAAGGCGATGGGTATAATGATCCTCCCACGCAGTGGAAGGGCTACCTCGCAATTTGGTTGCGAGCACATCGCACCACAACTCCTTACGGGTGGTCGTCATAGAGAGCGTGCGCGTTGCTATCTGCAACCAGCGAGAGACACGGGATGTGCCATCATACTCGGGAATGTCCGTGGTGCGCACAAGAGGATGTTCATTGTGCTGATGGCGGGGGGAGAGAGATCGAGGTGAGTGCACTGCGGCAGCGTAAGTCGAGGCCGCTGCAGGGGCAGAGGTGGGGACAGGCTGTGGGCCGTGGCCGCTGGCGGATGGACCAGCAGACGAGGAGGCAATGACCGAGGACAGCTGTCCCGGAATAGCCAGGTAGGAGGGAAGAGGCTGAGGAGCAGGTCGAGGGAAACGAGCCTGCATCATGGGGACCGAAGGGGTGGTAGAGGAAGAAGGGTGGGCAACCTGTGATGGGTGACGCTGTCTCAGAGCGAGAATCTCCGCCTGAGCCTGTGCAATGGTGGCCTGTAAAGTGGCCACTCGCTGGGTGCGCGGTGTCGGAGGTGGAGGGGGCGGAGCGGGTCGCCCAGTAGGAGGAGGAATCCCAGTCTGGGCGGTACCCTGCTGTGGGGGTGGGGGGACGAAGGGAGGAAGAAGAGGGCAGAGCCGTATTGCCGCGACCGGTGCGGGAAGCTGGGAAGCAACACCGGGGTAGGTCGATGAAACTGCGCGGCCAGATGGTTGTACCTGGACCGCAGCACCTACGGCAGTAGTAGAGACGGTAGGGGCGGTCGTGGCCGGAAGAACTGCCGCAATGACGGGGTGGTCTGAGCGGCAGCAGCACTCGCCACCGCTGAGGGGGAGTGCTGGGCCTGGCCCCACAGAGGAGGGGGAACCATGGTGACTCCGTCTTTGGAGTCCTGGGGAGTCGGAATCGGAGCCGGTAGGGGAAGAGGTGTGAGAGCGGTGGAGAGAGCGATGAGGGGAGCCCTTGAGGCGGTTGACGTCGAGGGCTAGCGCATTGATTTGCGCTTGCAACGGTCCAAGCGTACTAAGTTGTGCCTAGATTGCTATAAGGACGGCATGAAGGTCCATCGTGTCCGCATGGGTCTGATCATGAGCCCCTGACGGCGCGCTGACCTGGGGTGTGGACTGCGTCGCGGCGATCTCCTCGGATGAACCCCCTTCCATGGCCGGAAGGGGAATGGAGATAGTCCTCAAAGGAGTGTGTGGGGAAAGGGGCCCACCGGTAAGAGGAAGGGGACCGCGGGAGCGGAGTGAGTATGTGTGAGTCGACTCGCCTTGGATTTTGCGGGTCGCGCGTGAGACGAAGGCGCCGAACCGCTCGAGGGGGGAGGAGCTGTCCAGGTCCAGGGTGCCCGACGGGAGGAGGCGGGAGAGTAGGAAGGGGAGCGGGAGTTAGGAGAACCCTAAACCCTAGAAAACCCTAAGAAAACCCTAACCGGAGTTTAGGTGGTTAGGGGAGGGTAGCGGTGACCTAATCAAGAAAAAAGATAATATGGAGGGGAGGGGAAAATAAAATAGAATAAACAATAAAATTTCGAGATAAAAATAAAATAAAAGAAGAAATAAAAATAAATAAAGAAATAAAATGTAAAGAGCGAGGGAAGAGGACTTATTTATTTTTT